GAGGAGGAGGAGGAGGAGGAGGAGGAGGCAGGTGGGGCGGCCCCGGCGCTCCTGCAGCCGGGCTGGGGTGCGGCGGGCCGGGGCGGAGGTGACCGGGCGGGCGGAGGCGACCGGGCGGCAGCGCGGGGGCGGCGGCGATCGCCGAGGGGCGCGGGTGGATCGGCCGCTCCCGCTCGGCCCCGCTGCCGGCCCCGCTGCCGGCCCCGCTGCCGCCGCCCCCGCTCGGCCCCGCCGCCGCCCCGGCCCGGTCCCCGCTCCGGCCGGGCCAGCACGCGGTGGCGGCGGCGTGCGCGGCTCCCCGGAGCGGGGCGGGGAGCGGAGCGGGGCCCGGTACCGCCGCTTGGAAACCTCCGAGGAAAAGCAGGGCAGGGCTCACCTTGCAGCTAGCTTTCCTTTGCTCTCTTGTTTTATCAGATGCGTTTCTGTGCCTGTAGAGACTTCGCTGCTTCGCCTCGGCCCTATGTGACTCTGGGGGAAGGATCATGACCGAAGTCCTTCTCTCTGCTGCTCTGAACGGAACTGAACCCAACCTGTTATCCAGCGGCGGCTGGTCTGCGGGAAACGTCACCACCAAGTGCTCCCTGACCAAAACCGGCTTCCAGTTCTATTACCTGCCCACCGTCTACATTCTGGTCTTCATCACTGGGTTTTTGGGCAACAGCGTGGCTATCTGGATGTTTGTCTTCCACATGAGGCCTTGGAGCGGAATCTCGGTTTACATGTTCAACTTGGCACTAGCCGATTTCTTGTATGTTTTGACTCTGCCCGCCCTCATCTTTTACTACTTCAACAAAACAGACTGGATCTTCGGAGATGTCATGTGCAAGCTGCAGAGGTTCATCTTCCACGTGAACCTGTACGGCAGCATCCTGTTTCTGACCTGCATAAGCGTGCACAGGTACACGGGAGTGGTGCACCCCCTGAAGTCGCTGGGGAGGCTGAAGAAGAAGAACGCGGTGTACATCAGCAGCCTGGTCTGGGTCCTTGTGGTGGCCGCGATTTCTCCCATTCTCTTCTACTCGGGAACCGGGATAAGGAAAAATAAAACCACAACGTGCTACGACACAACGGCTGATGATTACCTGAGAAGTTACTTCATTTACAGCATGTGCACCACCGTGCTGATGTTCTGCATCCCCTTCATAGTGATTCTTGGTTGCTATGGGCTCATCGTGAAAGCTTTGATTTACAAGGATTTGGACAATACTCCTCTCAGGAGAAAATCCATTTACCTGGTCATTATTGTGTTGACGGTTTTTGCAGTGTCTTACCTTCCCTTCCACGTGATGAAGACCTTAAATCTAAGGGCCAGGGTGGATTTTCAAACCCCAGATATGTGTGCCTTCAACGATAAGGTTTATGCCACTTACCAAGTGACGAGGGGCCTGGCCAGCCTCAACAGCTGCGTTGACCCCATCCTTTACTTCCTGGCAGGTGACACCTTCCGAAGGCGCCTTTCCAGGGCCACCAGGAAATCATCCAGAAGGAGCGAGCACAACGTGCAGTCCAAAAGCGAGGACATGACTCTCAATATTTTATCAGAGTATAAACAGAACGGGGATACCAGTTTGTGAACGAATGCAGAAGATTTGGGAACGGTTCGAAAAAATCCTCCGCTTTGAGGCAGTAGGAGACTGTAGGGCTTACAAGTGTGTGAGGGAAATCTACCAGTCTCAAATTCTTTTTTAGATAAAGCCTCACTTTCTGGTCTTAGGAAAAGCTTAACTAAGTCAGTGGAAGAATTTTAATAGAAAATAATGTGTCAAAATTCAGCTTGCCTTCAGTAGTTTCATTTATTTCTGACTTCTGTCAGATAAAGTAAAATGAAGTAAATTCCCTAAAGGAGGAGAGCAATCCAAGTGCATCTGGTTTAATGACTTAGTCTCCCACGTTTGAAAATGTTCTCAGTCAGCCTGTCTTTAAAAATAGGAAATAAAAATAAGAGCAGTATCTTGTCTTCTGAGGCTCAGCCATAGACCAGGCTTTCTGCTCACTCGCTGTTGTACGCAAGGATTTAAATCAAAGTCATGATGCAGTTGCCATTTTCAGTTTTTTTTTTTTTCATCTACTTCTAGTGCTGATAATTACTTGATAGTTTGGTGGCATTTTTGGTTCAGTCCTCTTTCAGTGCCGGTGTTTTACTCGAGGTAGGCTTTGCTGGTGTGTGCATGGTTGTGCTTTGGGATTGCGATGGTGTTGATGGCAGGGCTGGCCCCTTGGGTGCCCGGGGCTCCCTGGCACCGGCGCCGGGCGTGGGGAGCGGGGCCACGGCTCCGGGCCGTGCCCGGCGGCGGTGCCCGGTGCCCGGTGGCGGTGCCCGGTGCCCGGTGGCGGTGCCCGGTGCCCGGTGCCCGCCGCGGGGACGGGCCCGGCGTGGCCTGGCAGGCCGGGGAGCGCTGGCACCGCGTGGAACCCGAGATGGGCGTGCAGGGAGCAGCTGAGCCTTGAGGCCGGCGGGGAACACGTGCTCCACGTGCCTGCCTCGGCTGCCAGGAGCTCCTGCTCCTGCAGAACGTGACACGGGCCGTGGCCCAACAACAGTGACTATTAAATGGATAATACAAATGGATTATATATATATTATATATATAACAATACTTGGGGGGAATTAATTTTTTTTGTACTTTGACAAACAAATTACTGTATTAACAAGATGTTGCAATATACTACAGACTAAATCCGGCCCTTTACTATAGATCTTCTCCAAATGTGGAATAGTTCATCCAAAATTAGCCAGACTGCAACATTGTGTAACACAAGAGCTAGTGATCAGGCACAGATGAAATTCTACATGGGCAGTCTCACTCATTTCTCATGTTTTTAATAAATGTATTTGAAAAGATTTTGTGCTAAAAGCAGTATAAAAGCATGCTCTGAATAATGAATTTAGTGTACAAAATTAAGTGCGATGTAATCCTAAGGGTGATTTTTAACACATCTTTGTTCCTCTGGTCTGCATCATAAGAGTAAAATATTTATATTTTACTTATCAATTCCAGTGATTGGTTACAAATGAGAGTAGCTGTAGTTATTTTTTGATGACATTGTTAAGCAGCTTCTGTTTGTATGTACGGCTTCCTCTGCAGAGTCCCTATTTATTGAACTTATTTATTAGGATGCTAAATGTAAAGTTTGTAAAGTGTGGTTCTCTGTGGTCATATTCAGGATTGGGCATTAATGGAAAATTGAAGAGCATGTTTCAATCAGTGTAATACCGTGTCTTCTAACAGCACACCTTTATAATAAACTCAATTCCACCCTGACTATTCACTGCTGATATGTAACCTAGTGATAAATTAAACTACTGATTTATAGCCTAGAGGTAAATGAAGCTCCAGCTTAGGAAGCCTCTTAAAGCAATGTGGAGAGCTCATTTAGCCCTATGAAAAATGTAGAACTAGTGAAAAAATCTCAAGCAAGGGTCAATTGCTAATTAATCCTGACTGACAAAGCCTGTGGAACAGCACCGACTATTTATATACCACAGAAAGAGCCCGATTCACAATAAATGACTTCTCCTATTATGTGATTATTTGAGGCTTCATTCAGCTGAGGCACGTCTTGTTTGGAATGGCAGATGAATTACACGGAGAGGGAGCATAAAAATAGGATATTCTTTGAATCTGCTTCTCTGTGTTGAAAAATCTTGTTCTTTTCCGAACGTTTGTGGTCAATTTGTTGCGTTCAGTTAGAAAACGAAGTGTTCCACTAATTCCCGTTCGAGCGGAGGTGCCCGTGCGGAGCAGCCCCAGCAGAGCGCAGCCCCAGGCCGGGCTCAGCGCAGCCTCCGCGGGGTGTGCGCCGCGGTCGGTGCCGACTGCGAGGGGACAGCGGGACAGAGCCGGGACAGAGCGGGGGACAGAGCCGGGGACAGCGGGACAGAGCGGGGGACAGCGGGACAGAGCCGGGACAGAGCGGGGGACAGAGCCGGGGACAGCGGGACAGAGCTGGGGACAGCGCTGGGGACAGAGCTGGGGACAGCGGGACAGAGCCGGGGACAGCGCTGGGGACAGCGGGACAGAGCCGGGGACAGCGGGACAGAGCTGGGGACAGCGGGACAGAGCTGGGGACAGAGCCGGGGACAGCGCTGGGGACAGAGCCGGGGACAGCGGGACAGAGCCGGGACAGAGCGGGGGACAGCGCTGGGGACAGCGGGACAGAGCCGGGGACAGAGGTGGGGACAGCGCCGGTCCAGCCAGGCCAGGAGAGCCGCGCTGCGAGCGGGACCTTGCGGCTGGCCCCGAGCCCCCATTCTGCCCCGAGCTCCCTGCGGGGCTCGCTGGGCCTGGCCCGGCCGGAGGGAGCGGTGCAGGAGCCGGCTGGTGCCGCGGGGCCGGGCTCGGCTCGGCCCGGCCCGGCTCGGCTCGGCACGGCCCGGCCCGGCTCGGCACGGCCCGGCTCGGCCCGGCCCGGCTCGGCTCGGCACGGCCCGGCCCGGCTCGGCACGGCCCGGCTCCTCTCGGCCCGGCCCGGCTCGGCTCGGCCCGGCTGGGCTCGGCACGGCCCGGCCCGGCTCGGCACGGCCCGGCTCGGCCCGGCCCGGCTCGGCTCGGCTCGGCCCGGCCCGGCTCGGCGGCCCCAGGCGCGGCGGGCACGGCGCTGGCAGCTGCCCCGGGCGCGCTTTCCGCGCCCCGCGGCTCCGCCGGCGCAGGTGCCAGCCCGCTCTGTGAGCCCGCGGCGCTCCCGGCTGTCTCGGCCAGCGCTGGGGCTGCTCCTGAGCCTCGCTGCCCCCGCAGGGCTCCCGCTGGCTTTCCCAGCCTCGCTGCGTTTGGCACGGGGCGCTTGGAGCCCTGGCAAAATCCCACCGGGGTCCTGTCTGCTCCCTCGCCTCCTCCTTACCTGGAGCGCGCCAGAGCCGCGGGCTGGTGTCCCACCTGGGAGAGCCTGGGATGGGCACCCGGCAGATCCACAGGCAGGGTGAGGGCTGGAGCCGCCAGAGACTGGCCCCAACGGAGCCCTTCTGGGATGTGGTTATGGAAGGCCATCAGCCCACCAGCGCCAGGGGCCAAGGTGATCCCTGTGATTATCCACCAGCCTCAGGGCTGGGCGCACCTGAGGAGGCCTTTCCCTGAGCCACTCACCTGGAATTTCCAATCCATCCAATATGTGGGGAGAATGCAACTGCGGCTCCGACCTTTGGGCTGGTAATTAATAATCGCTGGCAACGATGGGTTGTGATTATTAGGGACAAGATCCAGCTCATTATCTCTCTACTCTGACCACTAGAAGTTCCACCTTCCCTCATGCTGCGCAATCTTGGACTAGCAAATGAGATTAAACCTGTTCTGATTTTGTGGTCATGCCTGTAACCTCCTTTCCCCCTGGGCATGCTTGGGAATCTTCTAACTACAAATTATTCTCTTAAGACACCACAAAGTTTGAAGTAAACAGTTATTTAGAGCTTAACACTTCCCAGATCCACGCTAGCACCAATTCCCATTCATGAGCTGTGTTTGCTTCCTGCAGCTCATGGGGTGATGTTCTTTCCTATTCATGACCCACAGGTGGGCGGTTGTCAGTCTGTCCCTTGGCTGGCTGTCTGTCCATTTGCTGTCAGTCTGTCCTTTGGCTGTCAGTCTGTCCATTGGCTGTCAGTCTGTCCATTTGCTGTCAGTCTGTCCCTTGGCTGTCAGTCTGTACACTGGCTGTCAGTCTGTCCATTGGCTGTCAGTCTGTCCCTTGGCTGTCTGTCAGTCTGTCCATGTGCACCTTTGAGCCGGCTGATGTACCACAGGATGAAGGAGCTCCTGAGCAGGGTCCGAGCAGACCTGGCCCTCTTTGGCAGCAGGGAGCCCTGGCGTGGGGAGCCCGGTGCCCGGGGCTGGGGAGCTGCAGGGCTGCTCTGGCGGCTGCCAGCCGTGCCAGGGCTGCGGAGCATCCTCTGCTCTGCCCCCAGCAACGCTGGGCAGCGAGGCCCCAGCCCCAGCCCTGGCAGCGCCCGTGGGAGCCCAGCAGGGCTCGGGAGCCTTCCCTGGCCTGGCTCCTCTCTGTGGCTGAGGAGGGACACGGGGCACTCCTGGGGCTGTGTGGAGCCCGGCTGCCTGGCACAGCCATTTCAAATGCTCCGAAGGCACAGGACTTATTGCTGGGTGTGTGGCTGTGAATTATGGTGTGTTCCAAGGGCAGATGTGAAAATGCTTATTTGTGCTGTGATTTTAATATTGTTAAGTTCAATTCTTTTGTAAACACAACTGAAAGCTGAGTGCAACATCTGCAGGGACAGTGCTACCTTTTATTTATGCTCAGATTATGTAGCTGCTTTAATTGAAGAGCAAAAAAATCCTCTTATTTGTCTATAATTTTAATTAACAAAAATATATTTGGGTTTGAAGTTGCAACTGTTTTTAGCGGCAGCAAAAGCGCGGCCCCAGCGTTGCTGGTGCTGCCCCACTGCACCGAGCAACTCGTGCTGGAGCCGCCCCAGTAGCATTATGAAACACTCCTTCTGCCTTTTGTGTTGTTAATTCACGCTTCCAGGAGATTCTTCCGGCAGTGATATGTCTTTAAAAATAGGTAATAAAAGGCTTGCAAAATATATGTAGCAATTCAAAACCTTGAGAGGAAGCAGGCACTAAATGAGAATCAAAATAAGCGAATAATGAGTGATGCTTAGCCTTCAAAGACAAAGGAGGCATGTGGAGGTGTGGAGGCAGAACAGGGGGGAATGGCTTTAGGCTGAGGGCAGGTACACAGAGATCAGATATGAGAAGAAAGTGTTCCCTGGCAGGGTGGCAGGCCTGGCACAGGTGCCCGGAGCAGCTGTGGCTGCCCCTGGATCCCTGGCAGTGCCCAGGGCCAGGCTGGACACTGGGGCAGTGGAGGTGTCCCTGCCAGGGCAGGGGTGACACTGGCTGGCATTTAGGGTCTGTTCCAGCCCAAGCCATTCCATACTGTGATGCCTGGGGTCAGCGTGCCCGCAGGAGGCACCGACCAGGCTCACACCTGGGCACTTGCAGGGGCAGCAGGCTGGCTTGCTGCCCATTCCCACCCACTCCAAGCCTTCTCCCACTCCCAGAATTCAGCCAGACGTGAACCTGCTCCCAGCCCCTCTCCCTGTACACACGAGAGCTGGATGTGTCCTGCAGAAAGTGCCTTTTCCCCCTGGCAATGGCTGTGCCTCGCTTTCCCTCAGGATGAGGGGCTGTTCCTCCCAAACAGCTCAAACCCAACGTTCCAAACCCCACTGCAGCGTGGAGCCCTCTGTTAGCCGTGCCCCCCTGCCACTGGGCATTCCAGGTTTTTGCTGGGCTGTTTCCATGCCATCGTCTCATCTGGCTGCCTGCAGCTGCCCCAGATGCACACCACGAGCAGTTTCCTTCTGTTCCCTCCTCATCCTGTGGGGTGGCTGTGGGTATGTATTGGTACTTCACTGATTTCACCTGATTTAAGATTTACGTACTTTTCTCTTCATTTTCTTCTTCTTGATTTATCTTTGCCCTTCATGCAAATGGTTCACCATTAAAATTATTCCATTAAAATTATATTTTCTTAGCAGTAAATGAATCCCATCTTCAACAAATCATGCTGTTCCATGCCTTTCCAAAATTTCCTTTCCACTCCGAAACCTGCTGAGGCCCGAAGCCTCATCTTCCCCAGCACATAAAGCTTCAAATGCTCCAAGGCAGGGCCCTGCTCGGGCTGGTTGTGTCTGAGCACCAGATTCAGAATCTGAGCTGGCTGTGCATTTATCTCTGGTTCCACAAAATCATGGAATCATTTATGTTGCAAAAGGCCTCCAGGGCCATCGAGCCCAATGACAAAGGCTTCCTTTAGCCCTGGCCCAGGTGGGCAAAGGCACTTTGTGACCCTGGCCGAGGTGAGGCAGCGCACAGACCTGGGGGATATTTGCTTCTAAACTTGAATTTACAGCAAAGCCCAGCCTGTGGCAAGAAGCAGCGGGTGGAAGAGGTAAATAATTAAATAATTGGGGTTTTCAGAGTGTGCAGCTCGGGTTTCTGCTGGCAGCACCGGGCCCTGGCTCCGCTGGGAGCTGCCGGGAACGGAGCTGGGATGGAGCTGAGCTGGGGAAGGGCTGGAGCTGGGCAGGGCCCAGAGAGCACTGGGGACACGTTCTGAGGGGTTACCCAGCCCCTGGGGATTACCCAAACCATCACAGGCTGTGGGGTTACCCAGCCTCTGGGGGTTACCCAAACCATCACAGGCTGTGGGGTTACCCAAACCATCACATCCTGAGGGGTACCCAACCCCTGGGGATTACCCAAACCATCACATCCTGAGGGGTTACCCAGCAGGAAACCCACTGCCAGGGTCCCGAGGGAATGCTGCCTGCCTGCGGGAGCACCCTTGCATCCCTGAGTGATGATCAGAAATGTGCTCATTTAAAGTGCAGGAAACACCACTTACCCTTCTTGGCATTCCCCCACAGCCAAGGAACAGCAGAGCTGTTGATGTTAATAATTCATAGAGGACTTTTCCCTTCGGTTTATGGATCTGCCCCACACCCTCCCTGAGTGGGGCAGTGACCTGGGCAGGCTGAAATCCATCAAACTGCTGCTCCCAGG